GTCTCTCAGGGTGGAAATTTCAAAGAAACAACAACCAAAAAAATCAAAACCAAAACACAACCTAGGATGCAGAAAAAGGGGCTCTAGCAATAGGCACAAAGTGGAATCCTGCATTTGGGTAGTTGGCATGTCTAAGATGTAATCTGTTTAGGTTTAACAACAAAACTAGACTTTATTAAATGAAAATCGTTTGTAACAACAACAAAGACCCACTCCAAACACAAAGCAGCATTTGGTGAAACCCGGTTCGCCTTTCATAGGGCAGCAGCCCTCCTTTGGGACTGAGAAAACTCCTCCAGCTTTGGAGGGAATTAAACAGAGAGGATCTTCCTTGACGGAGAAGCACTAATCTCACAGGGTTGGGGATGGTGGGGAGGGGGAACAGGAGGGTGGGACCATAGCTTGAGGACCTGGTGACTTGTTGCCCCTCTCGCTTTTGATAAATAAAATAAAAATTGGGGCAGCAATTTACTGTTTTGTCAGAGCTCTCTCAAGGTGTGGAGTTGACCTATAAAAATACACTTTCCTAGCAAAACTACTGTTAGTTTAACCCCAATAAATGCTCATTATGCAATCGCTTGAGGCAAAAGAAAATAAGTCTATCTACCTATCTTCATTTCGCAGAACTCACGGTCTTCACGGGGAATCCACGTCGTGATCACCAGCAAGGCAGTGATGAAGGCTGGGAAAGTGCCTAAGCGTGAAGGTGGAGTCCCGAGGCAGGCGGAGTGGTCAGAATCCGCTTCCTTGACTGGCGGCGAGCAATTCCCCACGCCTGGCGCTAGATGTCCCTGCAAGTTCTCCCGTCGCTTCTGAGGACAGAGGAGCTTGGGGCAGGCGGTGGGTCTGTGTAGCCCCAGTGTCCAGGGAAAAAAGTACCCACCCAACCCCTCACCCATAACTGTCCCAGGTGTGTCGCGGGATTTCAAGGGAAGGGGGAGACAGAAGCAACTAAACTGACCCAGATGAGACAGAGAACCAAAGGTTTGCCTGCTCAGGGATGGAGCATGAAGTAGTTAGTACCAAGTCAGGCCTGGTTCTTCAACCCCTCAGTCCATCCTTAAAAATCGAAACCTCCAGCCATGGGGGATTGAGCTTAGCCTAAAGAAAACGTGCCATGAGCTCCCCCCTGACTGTGGTTGTTCCGCTGTCCCACCACACTCTGGGCCCAGCTCTCAAGAAAGCATGCGTTTTCACTGGATGGTGGCCGCAGCTACCCGAAACCCTTGGCTAGGAAACCGCCGCGAGGCTCTTCTGCAGCTCTGGCTTTACCCGCTCCACTCCCCTCTGGCAGCTGAAATCGATTTTTATTACCTTAAGTCTCAAACCAAAAAATGTTTATTTACCACTTCACCCCAGAGGACCCGCTGCAAATATTTAGTCTGGAGACCTAACAAAACAAACAAACAAAAAATTAGGCTTCATTCTTTCAAGCAAAAAGTGCTTTTTAAACTGTATGGAGAAAATTTTTCCCGCACTCCATTTCACCCCCATCTTAAAAATCACTGCCAAGCTATGCCTCCTGAGTTGGATTCTTGTTGTACTGAGTGGGCCCTGTACCTTGGTAGCGGGTAGGAGAGCTTGAAGCATCTAAAAACTTGGAACATTTGACAATCCTGGTCCCAGCCTTAGCCTATAGATTCTGGAAGAGGTGTGAATTTTCATCCATAAACATCAACAGTACTGTGCTGTTCTCTCTACCCTTACAATTTTTTTGAAGTAGGCCTGAATTTAAATAAGACAGGCAAAATATGAGAAAAATAAAACAAAACAAAAGCTATTCAAAATTTAGAACTATCTTAAGGCTTTTATATTGTTGGAGATAAATTTAAATCACGAACAAGTCGCTAAACTTATGTGTCTAAGAGGGAAATGTAATTAATTTCAGAGTTGCTGTGAGATTTAGAAGAGATAATAATACAGGTAAGAAGCACCTTCAATTACATATAAGGACTTTATGTAAATTAGCCAATATTACTACAACTAGTGGGTATGGAGAATAAGTAAATTAAGGGTCACTAAATACTGAAATGGAATATTCACTGCGCTCCAGGAAACATTGTCTGCTAAATGCAGTAGTGAAAAATGGTAGGTGTCTTTTACTGTGAGTAGTTTCCCTGACATGGTCTCAAATATACTTATTGGAATAAACGTGTTAGAAACACAAACTTAGTGTTATTTAAAAGGTGCAAAATAGTTTTCTAAACCACTAATGAATGAAGGTGCCGCCAAAAATGGTTTTGTACCTTTTCAATAGACTGAGGTAGGGTTTGACGCTGCCTTTGGAACTAGAGACGCCAGATCCCAGTGGAAGCGAGGAAGTGGGAGACCGTGAGCTGGCTGGGTGATAGAGGAAACGGTGCCTGTCTGCACCCCAGACCCCAGAGGCTGCTGTATTTGAAAAGCCTCTCACAGTCGCCTAAACCGCGAGGAAAACAGATGGGGGCGCCAAACGACAGCAATAAAGGCATCAGCGGATTTCCGCTCAAGCAATGCCTCCACTTCCCCCCACCGCCGCCAGGATCTTGACCCCCCCACGGACCGGAGCCTGGACCAAAGTGCCCCATTTAGTCCCTAGAGCAAGCGGGGATTGAGTAGCGGGGCACCCTTCCTAGATCAAGGGGACAGCGCCTGCCAGAACTCGTGGATCTGGCTGTTGGGGTTGAGGAGCGGGTGGGGGCGTCCACAGGGCTGGGCTCCTGACGCGCTAATGGCCCCAAAGTCTTCATGATGAGAACGCGAGAGCTCGGTGTTGAGTGGTAACAGGGGCACAGGAGGAGGTGGATGGCTGATAGAATCCTCAGAATGTTGCCGAATGCCCAGCGGTCTCTCTGCCCCCAGCCTCAGCATGCCTATTGAGCTTTCCGTTTATTACCTTAAAGAGGTGGAATTGATTTTCCAAGCAAAGCTCGCGATGTTGAAGTAAGTTGGCGCCAAGGGGAACAGTAGAGAAACTTTTGGCAATGACTATATGTGTATATATGTATATAAATATACTTCACACCTCGCCTCCCCTTTCATTCGTGACGCGCCCCCAGTGGGTCTAAGGTTAAAAGGAAAGCGCCAACAGACAGATGGGCAAATAGACCCTGGGTTTGCCCCATCGCACCTCGATGTGTTGGGTGTGTCAGAAGAAGGAAAGGAGGGGGCCCAGGTTGGGGTCTGAGTTGGCTCTGGGGCGGGGATGCAGGACCCGCGCACAGTGCCCAGACTGCTAGGGTCTCCTGGTCGCTTCAGAAGCTCAGGAGTTGGATCTCGGTGTCCTATCCCTGTTTTCGCCCTGGTACCACAGGCGGGCGGGCATAATGCATCCGGAGGTGGGGCAGGGTGGGGCACAAGCGCGGGAGGAGATGAGGAGCGGCCTTGAGTGAAGATTGATCTTCGTTAAAATGGTTGCCACCGGCGTCATTATGACTATCAAAGTTAACGCCAAAAGGCTCAGCCGCCAACCTCAGGCCGCAAGGAGCAGCTGCAAGGTTGGTCGGGAATTCTCATCGCCCGGACTCAGCGCTGGGAACACGAGGGGCCACAGGTAAGGAAGGGACTCGGGTGGAAAGGGAGGAAGGAGGAAAGACAGAATCAAGGGCAAAAGGAGGAAGGGCAGAGGCAGAAGGCGGCTGACGCTCCTCTATCCCCCACCCCCTTTAACCTCGAAATCCACTTACTTGGGCACAAATAATCAAATTTGAGGAGGGAAGGGGGAAACTGGTAACCATAAAAAGTGGATTCGGCGCTGCCCGTATGGCACTGTAAATCGCGACTATGTTTAAAGTTAGCTGTCGCATTCTGCTTTCAAGTCGTCCAGTGTAGTTCACTTCCCCCAGGGAAAATGAGTAGGTGAGAAGTCTATCCATCAGCAGAAATATAAAAGTTAAAAACAAAAAGAAAACAAAATAAAAACCAAACTAGGGACTTCGAGTTCAGAACAAACCAGGCAAACTTAGAAAAATCAGAGAGGATTTAATGATTTCGGTTTGGAACAGCGGGCCCAACATACTTCCCTGGCCACTCTACAAATCTACAGACATCTCTCTCTCTCTCTCTCTCTCTCTCTCTCTCTCTCTCTCTCTCTCTCTCTCTCTCTCCTCTTCTCTCTTTTCCCCCTCCCCCTCCTTCCCTCCCTTCTTCTCCCCCCCTTCTGTGGGAGGAGAACACCCAGGCTGAGACGAAGAAGTAGCTAGGCAGAGAACTCAGCTTCCTATTTGTTAAATAAAATACATATTTGGTTCTGAAAACAGAAAGATAAGTAATCCAGTCAGGAGCCCCGCAAGGTCTTCTCCTTACGCAACTCTTCCTGCATCCTCCCCCTTGTCCCCCCCCCCTTACGCCCCCAGCTTGTAAATGTTTTTTAAAAAATCTTCCTGAGGATCTACTCTGGAAAAATCAAAGCATTATCTATTATTTAACACATATCTGTGTCCATGGAAAAATGAGGAAGGCGCTGCATGATTAGGACCTAAGGGGCAACCCAGCAAACTGAGAGCGTAATGATGCCCCTAAATGAAGGGGGAAATGTGCCGCGGCGCGCTCTATTAATCAGACTGTCAATTTCACCCCCGAGGCCAAACCCCCGGGCGAGCAGAACTGGCTCCGAACGGGCAAAGGACCGGAGCCTTCTTCCTCACTTCTTGTCTCTTCTCATCTTCTACCTGGATCTATTTGTCTGCTCTGAAGTCGCCTTCATTACCCACTGACAGGAGCGTGTATTTATTTGCTTATAAACCTGTTACAATAAATGATTATTCGAACGGCGTCATTCGTACCTTAATGACGAGCGGGCGCTACTTTTTGATGAATGACATCTCGGGCTCGGAAGGATGTATGGGTCATTTTGACCAGTCATTCCCTCGCTCTGGCATCCCACAATTTTTCCGCCTCCCTCCAAAAGAGATAATAATATTTAGAGGCGCTTGCTGGGGCTGAATGAGAATTAGCCCTAGACGCAGAGCATCATTAGGACGGGACAGCCGGGCCACTGTGACATTTTTTAGAAAGCTGAGATGATGGAAAGAATAAGAAAAGAGATGATTCTGATGGAGAGAGGGCTCCACAGCCCTACCGCCAGCAAGAGGTTCTCCAATTTGTCCGACTCCGCTGGCAGTGCTGTGCTGGAGGCCCTGGAAAATTCGCAGCACCCAGCTCGCCTCAGTCCGCGCCTACCTTCCGCCCCCCTACACGGCGCTCTGGGAGACCTCCCCGCCAAGGGCAAATTCGAAATAGACACTTTGTTCAACCTGCAGCACCCGGGCAGCGAAAGCACCGTCTCCTCCGAAATCGCCTCCGCTACCGAGAGCCGCAAGAAGCCGAGCCATTATTCAGAGGCGGCCGCCGAGGCCGACATGAGCAGCGACGTGGAGGTGGGCTGCTCGGCGCTTCGTTCCCCCAGCGGCCTCGGCGCTGCGCCGCTCAAGGAAAACAATGGCAAAGGTAAACGCTCAGCCCGCGGACTCTACAGTCCGGTCTTCCTTGCTTCTCCGCGGCCCTCACTAGTCCTTCCCGGAGGCTTTGCCCTTCTCCGACCCTCCGCAAGCAAGCTGTACCGAACTTGCGAGTGTAGGACGCATGCTAGGGACTGCCCACGGGTTCCACTCCTTGAGCCCTATCACGCGGCGCAGGCCTGCGGAGCCTGGAGCTCCAGGCCCCGCTCGTCCTGGCTCCTGCGTTCGAGAAAATATTTCTGTGTGCCGGTCTAAGAGGTAGAGCGAGCTGACAGACCCCTAGCGAGAGGCCCAGACGTCTCGGGAAGGGTACCCTGAACAGCTTCTCTGAACCCCGCCACCTCTGAGCTCTCAGGGCCGGGTGGAGGGAGTTATTTTCTGGGTAAGTCAGGGAGTTTCTCCCGGCGCCTCTGCTCGACCGCTTAGGCCCCGGGAAGAAAGAGTTGAAAAGTAGATTCCACCCCCTAAGGGCTCTGGTTTGAGCTGCTGTTTTGGAAACTTCAAATATTTTTAACCAAATCTGAAACAAACAAACAAAAACTGTCAAAGAAAGGCTAGAGGCTGTACAGAAAGCCACCCTGGGGTCTCCAGACCATCGAAAATCTAGTGCTTCTCAAACTGCGCCCCGAGGTAGGCATTTTCTCTCTGCCAGTTTTCTTCCTCAGTGGAAAATTTCTAATTACTAAAAAAAAAAAAAAAAAAATCCCCCAATTCCATTTCTATTATTTGGTTATGAAGGGCTCCTCAAACTTTATTGATTCCATTAACGGCAGCAATTTGTAAGCATGACAGACCCCATCAATTCCGGCAGCGACTTTCCTTCCTGACGCGACTTCCCCTATTGCAGGGCTCTAGGCCCCCACAGAAACCCATGTGCTGTCGACTGTTTGTTTGCCAGGGTACACGGAGAGCGGCTCGGCGGCTGGAACCACGACGTCAGCGTCGGGCTCGGGCCTCGGCAGCCTGCATGGAGGCGGTGGCGGCGGCGGCGGCAGCGGCGGGGGTGCGGCGTTGGGCGGCTCTGGCTCTGGCGCAGATCAGGTGCGGCGTTACCGAACTGCGTTCACCCGTGAGCAGATCGCGCGCCTGGAGAAAGAATTCTACCGAGAGAACTATGTGTCGCGGCCCCGCCGGTGCGAGCTGGCCGCTGCGCTGAACCTGCCCGAAACCACCATCAAGGTATCGATTCCTACGCGCGCCTGCTTTGGTCTCCCCCGGGGCGTCTGGGTTGATTTCTTTTCCCTCTTTCTCCTTTCTGGGTGGCTAGATTCAGCGAGGGCCTGGAAATCCGCGGGGGTTGTCACCCAAGGAGTTGGCTTATTTCTTCCTCCTATGCGGAATCCTGACGGCTAACCGGCCTGGCTGGCCTGGGAAGACCCCAGAATGGCGGCGCCGATGGCTCAAACCCGCCCTCGCTTCTGCTTGATTCTGCCCAACGCCTGCCTCCCCAGTTGCCTCCTCGCCCATGCCCTGGTCCCACTTTCCCCTATGCGACAAAGCCAACTGGTCTTTGTTCCTCTGGCACGAACCCGAAATGAAACTTCATTTGATTTTAGAGATTTATTTTTCACATAAATCGTTAATACATGGAGAAAAGGATAGTCTTTTAAAAATCGATTGGGCTGAGAACGTAGTTTCCTAAACATTTTTTTTTTCCCTCTCGGGAAAAGGTCAACCTCCTGGGGAGAAAACGCAACGAAATTGTGTGTGTGTATTTATATTATTATTATTATTATTTTTATTATACGTTTGGCTGAGAGAGTCGACAGGTTGGGCGACTTGGTAAACACTTAATGGAGCATTCAACCCTCTAGAAAAAGAGCAAACTTCATGGGATAAAAGGATGTGGAGGCCTTCCTCCAGTTTGATAGGGCTTTCTTTAATTTAGGGTTGTGACGAATGTCTTTATTAGACACTGTGTTAGGAGGGGTAGAAAAGTCCCCTTCCCAGTTTATGGGGACATTGCTCTCGCCACTCATTTAAGGCAAATGATTCCCACAAAATCATCCCTTCAATACCCTAATCGGACCCGTGCCCCCAGGGGCCGGTCCTTGAAACTCTGAGGGCTCAAGACCTGGCACCGCGACCTCTCAGAAAAACTGCGCCACAGCCTCTCTTCAGAGGCTGTTCGGAATCCCCGTGCAAATCCTGGGATTGAGAGTCCGGGTGCTCAGCGAGGCTGGACACCGGTGGGTGGCGGGAGGGAGAGGAAAGGTTGGGTTGAATATGCAGAGAGAATATGCAGCAAGAACTAAGAAAGCTACAGTCCAGGAGCCGCAGCAGGCTGACTTGAGATAAAACTCTTCTTCGCTGAGGAAGGTGTGCCTACGGTGATCTACACATTGCCGTCCACACTGTCCCAACTGGGAGAGCAGAGGGCACTTGGGGCTAAGCCCAGGGTGAGAGGAGAAGGCCAGACCATTCGAAGGGCCGGGAGGGGCCGGGAGGCCCGGGGCGGGGACGGGGGAAATGGGGCGCTCCCTAACTCGGGCCGCGGCGCGGCTCTCCCCGCAGGTGTGGTTCCAGAACCGGCGCATGAAGGACAAGCGGCAGCGTCTGGCCATGTCGTGGCCGCACCCAGCCGACCCCAGCTTCTACACCTACATGATGACGCATGCGGCAGCCACCGGAAGCCTGCCCTACCCTTTCCACTCGCACGTGCCGCTGCACTACTACCCACACGTGGGCGTCACGGCGGCAGCAGCTGCGGCCGCAGCTTCTGGTGCAGCGGCCGCAGCTTCGTCGCCCTTTGCTACTTCCATCCGTCCACTGGACACCTTCCGCGCCCTCTCTCATCCCTACTCCCGGCCGGAGCTGCTGTGCAGCTTCCGCCACCCGGGTCTCTACCAGGCGCCCGCGGCCGCTGCGGGGCTTAACAGTGCTGCCTCTGCCGCTGCCGCTGCAGCAGCTGCAGCGGCTGCGGCCTCCTCGGCGGCTGCGGCCGGGGCGCCCCCCAGCGGCGGCTCTGCGCCCTGCTCATGCCTCAGTTGCCACAGCAGTCAGTCCGCTGCAGCTGCTGCAGCCGCAGCTGCCGCAGCCCTGGGCTCTCGAAGTGGAGGTGGCGGCGGCGGCGGCGGCGGCGCTGGGGCCGCGGGGGGCTCGGACTTCGGCTGCAGCGCCGGGGCGCCGCGCTCCGAGAGCGGCTTCTTACCCTATTCTGCGGCAGTGCTTAGCAAGACCGCCGTGAGCCCGCCAGACCAGAGGGACGAGGCGCCGCTCACCAGATAACTACGTCGTGCCGCCAGGGGGCCGTGCCTGTAGCTCTGCGGGTGCCCGGGAGTCCCCTGTGCACCCCCTGCCCTTTCGGCGCGCTTCCCGCTGCTACCGCTGTCGCCAGGGGGCGCCCCGCGGTGCAGGAGGTTGAAAGGAACCTGCCGCGAATTGGAGGGAAGGAGTCAGCGCGAAAGCCTGGCGGGCGTCCCCCCAAATTATTTCTATTTTTGTATTTCCCAACCGTCTCTCCCCTCTTTTCCCTCCTCAAAATGTTTCCTGCCATCTGGGTCCCACTTCCCACCTCTTTCTGAGCTCTTGGTCTCCCCGAAGACAATCCCCCTATCCCCAAAGAAGTTCTCCCGGGTTTTGAGCCCTGGCTGTGCGCCCTCACGCCCGAGGCGTGAACCACGGTAGAACCACGTGGCCAGAAGCAATGCAGAACCACGACGAAGAGGGAATAGTGTGCGCTAACGCTTGTGGGAGGCGGAGTCACCCCCACCCCCAAGGTTTATGCTGCTGCTCTTTTTCTTCTAACATTTCCTTCTTTTCTTTAAACGAGGGTGGGAGGAGGTGGCAAATTTTCTCTCAACGTGAGTTTGTTGGGGGCTTTGTCCAAGCAGAGCGGGAGAATAAAAGTGTGAGAAGACCTGGAGGGTGGATGGAGAATGCGGGGTGGCTGCGGTGTGCTCGTGAGATAGTTAACTGCGTGCTGGAAACGAGATCCGTAAGACTAGTAACGGCCTTTCCGGGGAAAGACAAAGCCCCAGGTGGGGAGAGTGGAGGTCGCGCCTCTTCCTTCTGGGTCCACCATTGTTCGACTGTTTTCTCTTTGGTATCTGGTTTCAGTGAAATGAAAATGTCTGGCCTATTTTATGCAAAAGTTCTTGACTAGTGAAGTTGCCAAACCTGGCCAGGAAAGGGAACGGAAAGGAAGGCCAAGACTGACAGATCACTATAGTCTATTGGTTAGGCATTTTCAGTTTTCTAACTACCGGGTTCCACTCGATCTGGGAAATACTTGAATCTCTAGATATATAGTATCCTAAACATTTCCTTAAACACTTTTCTAACTTCGAACTCGCTATGCTCCTCCACTCCTTCCCTCCTTGCTTTCTTTTTCCTCGGGTAAAATGGTTCTTGGCACACTTCTCACGCATGTCTATTGCGCCTTCCCTCTGCAAAGCCACCACTGGGTTGCTGAGACCCGCTCTGCCAACCCCGGCTACAGGAGGGGTTTCCTTGAACTTGAAGAAAGGTACATCAAAACCCACCAGTGTTAACTGCCACGTCAATTTTGATGCTAATAATGTGCAGATTATGACGAAAATTGCCAATCATGCTCTCTGATGGACCTCCTTTGAATGTGGAATTGTAGAAAAGTTCCCCGCACGGAGACCTGCTGTCAAGTACTAACAACCCGCTAAGGGAAGTCATTAGGAGAGACGGATAAGAGACTCGGTACATAAAACATTGTTCTTGGTGCATAGAATGTATGTTATTTAATGTTATCTCTGTTACCTGAAGTGATTTCGCAGAAGAAAGCCACGTTCTTATCATCTCAATTGCCAATTTTCATTTTGGTAACTTGGACGCCCTGGGTAGACTTTTCTCTGTTAAGTTGATATTCCACCAATGTGAACAGCCTCATTAAATCAAGCCCAGATATTTCCATAATGCTCCCCGCAGAGCCACTTCACTCCTCACATAATGAGATTTTCTGAAGAGTTGAAGCCCTAAAATAACTTGCTAGTGCATGTTCAGGCCCAACCAAGTGGGTATGTGTGTGTGTGTATTAAAAGGTAGGTATGCTACCTACATATGTATGTTTATATATATGTATATGTATGTATATACGTATACATATATTTATGCTCTTAAATACATGTGTAAGAGATACACACATATCCATATATACATATTGGTATTATTTTCTGTGATTTTTTTTCAAATTCGTTTCCTGATATTTTAATTTTAAAGACACTGGATTTTAAAATTTTATTTCTTAAAAATAGGCTTTCAGTAAACTTTTGAAATAATTCATTTTCCAGAAGAAATTATTATTTTTATCAAATGGAAAATATTTCAAGGGGAAGCAGTATTTCAAAACTCCTGAGATCTGTTGAAACATTCCTGTTAGAGAACTTCCCAAGTAAATAGCAATGATTTAAAGCTGGAATTTTTTTAAGAGATGAGACTACTTATGTAAAATATTGATTTTACCAGCTCTTGCTCCGGGAGTTTACATTTTAAAAATTAATATATAATTTAAGGCTAAATAAGATAAACCAAAATATGGTACTGTTTTATCAGCTTTATCTTTTTAGATTGTTAAAGTCCTTTGTTATGATCGGTTATCAAATGTATATATAAGGTACTTTAGGCAATAATGTTTACATTTCCCCCAAAATATATATGATTGATGAGAACGCTGGTTGGTAAAATTAACATAAATTCATCTTATGTTAGGTCCATTGGATCTGGTTATTATATTAAAATAAAACTGTAAATAAAGTCT